CAGATAAGCTATTCACAACAAATGTAGTTACTTGAATAAAAAGCTAATTCAGTCCTAAAATGCCACATGCAGGAGCTGTGAATAGCTGCTTTTAGGTGCTTTCGGGAGGAGAATAAAATACAGAATTACAGCCCTCTTCTTTCCCAGCGTCCCTGGCTGCCTGTAAATTGCTCTGAATGGGACTGTGGGCTGACAGGCTCTATTAAGACAAACTGTCTTTCTCATCGGAGAGATAAAATAAATCAGGTGTTTAGTCAAATTAAAATACTTCAGCTGGAGCAGGCCCTGGGGAGCACTGATCCACCTGACAAATCTGAGAGAAACTCAAGACAGATGTGATCTGGGGATAAGGAAGAGCCCATTGGAAATCTGGAGGTGGGGGGCAGGGTGGCCTGGTTCTCCCTATAACTTCAGAGTCAGCAAACAGATCCAGTTTAAAGTCAGAAAAAGGTGCATGTGTCATGGGTAATATATTATGGAAGCCAGTATCTTTATTTGATGAGAGCCATGATAAGGATCTTTTTCACTTCACAGCACGTTTGGCCTGCAGATTCTTCATTATTTAAAAATAGATAAACAGAGATGTTCCTTTCAACTTAGCAGAAAAGCTTATTTATTGATAATTTATTAAGAGTATCATAGTAGGTGAGTAGCAAAGACATGATGATGTGTATGGTTAAACAATAAAAAAACCCAAACATAGCAGCTAATTTCTTTGTTTTTTATTTGCATATTGTACCACTGCATATAGATTAGTGGGAATGGTGGCTAGGGAGTTAATTAATTATTGCCATCCCTCCTCCCTTTCCTGTTTTCTCACTTCAGTAGGAAAATATATGGAAGCCTGAGAAACCTGTATCAGTTTTCCTAAAGCCTTTTGGCTTCATATATGAACAAGGAAAGGAGGGTTAGATTACAGCTGGCTTTGCAGTAGCAACTCTGTACAAGTGCCCTTGATGAATACAGTACAAGTACAATTGTACAGCAGACAAAGTCAACTTTAATCCATGAATGTTATAAATTGTTTTCTAATATTTCATATTCCTACTGGGATACCTATGGTATTTCTGAGTTGACCACAGTAACTCTTGAGATTGAGGCTTTAAGACAAAGCAAGAAAGGAGACTCTTAAGATTACTTTCAAACATAGATGGAAACCTGATTTGTAGCTTTGGTGTCCGATGTTCAACTATCTTGCTATAGATGAAAGTACAATTTGTCCCAGTGGAACAAAGTTTACATTGTGCTGCAGCTAAAATTGACTACTTCCAATCAACATTATCTCAATGTACAGACTGAAATGTTGTCAGGTGGGCTGTACAATATCCTGGCCTTATAACGTGCTGCATAACTAGTGCAAATTGAAATTATATTTAAATTATTTCTTTGTGTGTCCATGTGAGTTTAAATATACCTCTCCCATCCCTTAATCCATAGTGCTGCCACCAATTTGCATTCCATGAACATCTTAATGGTTTCATCTAGGATGGTATTAAAGCAATTAATATTATACCCATTATAAAATAATTAGTGATGCAAAAGACTTAACCTGGGATTTGGACATGCAAAGCCTAACTTCTACTTGAGGCATAGTGTATTTTTAGCTAATATAAATGATTTGAAGATCTGGATGTCTTCTGATTGTTTATAGTGTTTCTGTTTTTCATTATTTAATAGGATGCATAGATAAAAGCCATCCTATATGCTTAATACTTTTATAAAGTAAGTTGAACAATTGTTTGCTCTAACCATTTAATGAGCTCACTGGCTGAGCTATGTTAATACCTTGCACCCATATTAAAGACCACAATAAGCTATAATACATTGCATCCTTGGAATGAATTGAATTCTACTAATTCAGACATTCAGTAGACACTCAGGAGGCATTCAAAAAATAGTGAATGACTCAGTTTTAGTATCCTATTAATAGAACGAACACATTTATTAGAGAATGAAAGATAATGAAATACTGGAGCAGACTAAAATGTTAGCTGTTAACATTATCCCGTTAGTTACTATTCAATCTTTACATTTTCTTTTGGGGGAAATTTTGTGGATTGGATATTTTATCCCTGATGTCTAAAACTAGATTTAAAATTGATCATGAATACTCTTTTTTTCTTAAGGGTTGATCCAAATGCATTTCTTTAAAAACATTGATTGCATATAGCATATTTTCTAACTATACAATGTGGAAAGGTGAAATACCGTATTTTCCGGCGTATAAGATGACTTTCTAACCATGCAAATCTTCTCCAAAGTCGGGGGTTGTCTTATACGCCCAGTCGTCTTATACGCCGGAAAATACGGTATGTGTGAAAGTACAGTTCTGCTTCTCTGGTTCAAAGGATGAGACTTTCTATAGGAGATATATTAGCTGGCTTTGATTTTTTCCAGTTGCAATTGCTAATCCTTTCCTTTCCGTGCACTTATTTTGTTCTAGATTACAGAAAATAAAAAAGTTTATGAAACCAAGTTGTTCAGCTACTGATGTTGTATAAATATTTTAGTTGGTATAAAATAATTTTAAAAAATCCTGATTTCAAGATTAAATTTGACAGTATGAGAATATAGCTCAAAACCCAATTAAAAAATCACAATGGACTTATCTGAAACTTCACTCCTTATTGGTACCATAGTGGGCACTGTTCTCCTCCTCAAGGGTTGTTTTATTTATTTATTTATTTATTGTATCTCGGTCTACCCAAAAGTTCTGAAATGATTATCCCCTATCCAACTACTAACTAGGATTGAATCTACTTAGTTTTTGCTGCTTCTCATGGGGGCCAAAACTGAATGAAAAGCTGACAGACTTTGGGCTATCATAACAACATACCAATGTAAGCTAAACTACCAGAATCATTGGAAAATTACTACTGTACAGATTTCTTTGTATGTTTTGCCAGCATAATTAGCTTCATATATATCTTTTCTCGTACTTAGTGCTTCACAGATTCTTGTAGGGTATTTTCAATATATCCAGGGAAATTTACATAAAAGTGGTTTTCTGAAAGCTACAACAAAAGAGTCCATAATCTGATAATTCTGGTATTAAATCACAGTTTAACAAATAAACTATTATAATCCTAGACATTAACAGTGGTTAATGCAAATAATTTGTAGCTGATATACTGGTGTAGGTTTTCATCATTATAGCTCAGAGGTCTTCAAACTTGGCCCTTTTATGACTTGTGGACTTCAACTCCCAGAATTCCTCAGCCAGCATGCCTGGCTGAGGAATTCTGGGAGTTGAAGTCCACAAGTCATAAAAGGGCCAAGTTTGAAGACCTCTGTTATAGCTGAATGGCCTAAATGGCCTGGGCTGAATGGCCACGGCCTAATTTTCTTTTCTGCTGACATCGAACAAAATCTAGACCATGGCCATTCAGGCTGAAAGCTTATCAGTGCTTCAGTTGTCTGCTAATTTTAATTATTCTCATTATAATTGTGTTATATGTAGTTCCCTTTGAAGAGGTATATGTTTAAGGAATGTACAGGTAGTCCTCAGTTGATGTCCACAAGTGGATCAGAATTTCCATTGCTAAGCAAGGCAGTTATTAAGTGAGTCAATCCCTGATATTACAACCTTTATTTGCCACAGTTGTTAAGTGAATCAGCGCAGTTGTTAATTAAATCACATCATTAAGCACATTGGGTGACTTTCATTGACTTTGCTTGTCAGAAATCATCTGGGAAGGTGGCAGATGGCAATCACATGACCTGGCATGCTCTTGTAAGTACATGCTGGTTGTCAAGTGCCCCAGAATCAGTCACTTAACCAGGGTTATGCTATGAGGCTTGTAAGTGCGAGGACCGGTTGTAAGTTGCCTTTTTTCAGTGTTGTTGTAACTTTCAGTGATTTGTAAATTGATGACTATGCGTATAAACTAGGTTCAGTTTAGCTCATTGGCTTCAATCTTAATGAACGTAGGTGGAAACGCACCTGCTAAGATACACTTGCTCGGGGTGAGTGTGAGAAGGCACAGGAAGGACGCAGTAGGGGTTCCTCCCTCTTTTCCTTCCTTCTCTCCTCTTTTTCTTCTTCTCTTCTTCCCTTCTTCCTTCCTTCCTCCCCATCTCCTTCAGCCCTCCCTCCCTCCCTCTCCTCTCTCTCTTCTTCCTTCCTTCCTTCCTTCCTTCCTTCCTTCCTTCCTTCCTCCCTCCCTCCCTCCCTCCCTCCCTCCCTCCCTCCTTCTAAAAATCCATAGCTTCAAGAGCTGGTTGGACTTTTTGTTGGCAATTTTTACTCCAGTGTTGAAGATGTTAATGCTCCCTAAAAGACTGAGCTGTTTGATTCATGACACCTCCAATGTCTTTATTAATATTCTTGAGATATCTGCAGTGTCCCTGTTGTGCTTCAGCATCTCAGGGTTGTTTGTAGCATACAGAACAACAGAGTTGGAAGGGACCTTGAAGGTCTTCTAATCCAACCCTCTGCTCAGGCAGGAAACCCTCTACCATTTCACACAAGGGGCTGTCCAGTCTCTTCTTAAAATCCTCCATTTTTGGAGCACCCACAACTTCAGGAGGTTTCTTAGTAGTAAAAAGGGAATGCCATGACCTATCAATATATTCATTTCTTGTGAATGCTGGAAATCTTTAAGAAAGTAGTCCAGATTTTTGTTATTGCTGTTAGTGAACAGGATTTAGGGTTGTTTTACATTTTGTTTATTTAAAAGTATTTAATTGGGTGGGGATGACATTGTATTAATGTTTTTTTTAACACGATAATTCATCAAAGAACCATTATACTTGAATGGAAGGGAGCAATGAAGTGCTATTGCAAATTACCTAATTAATTTTACCTCTTGTCAGAAGGGAGAAATTATCTGTTTTCTCTTACCAGATGATAGTGAAAGATCCCTACCTGTGAAAAATGCAATAGCAGAATATATGTTCTAATAAAATATTTATGTTGCCTTCCGTAGGATAGAAATAGTTTTACCCTCTGCTTGTTTATTTGTCTGTTGTTTATGCCCTGTCTTTTGTTTCTCCTTTAGGTACACCTGAAAGCTTAGCAGAAAAAGAACGACAGCTCTCGGCCATGATTACCCAGCTCATCAGCTTACGGGAGCAGCTTCTGGCAGCCCATGACGAGCAGAAAAAGCTGGCAGCATCACAAATTGAAAAACAGCGGCAGCAAATGGATCTTGCTCGCCAACAGCAAGAACAGGTAAGTGACAAAATGCCAACATCTAAGAACATCAGGGGAAAAAACTTACTAGAACTTATCTTGCACTCAGTCCTGATTTGAGGGAGGGAGGGAGGGAGGGAGGGAGAGAGAGAGAGAGAGAGAGAGAGAGAGAGAGAGAGAGAGAGAGAGAGAGATGGGCCTTGTGTATATGTTAGTGCCCGGGTGTCAAATTCGCCACATCATGTGACGTGTCAAGATGTATTCACATTGCTGGAGCTGGGGTGGGCACAGCCTCTGCATGATGCAACCGGCCCACGGACCGGCAGTTTGACACCCCTGTGTTAGTGTATTAAATGTTTTGGCAATATATAATTAGATTCACATTCTAATATACCTAATAGTTCAAGTCCTATTCAAGGACCTAAGAATGAGTAAAGTAGCATCTAAGAATATAGAAATGTTCCAAGCAGAGTGTTTTTTGTGAAATTAAGGTGTTCAGGTTCAATAAATTCAATATTCATTTTGTAAAATAACTTAGGGTATTCAAGTTCAATAAATTCAGTATTACCAGATATCAAGGAAGTTCTTTGCATATTGCTCCAAAGGTTCAAATTATGATTGTTATAATAACGGATTTCATTTTCCATAAACGTTCAACTTTGATCTGCAAATCCCAATACTTTGTAATTTTTCCAATTGTTTTTCTCAGTCTGGGATCACTTGGAATAGCAAAATCACAAATGAAGTCAAAAATACATGTCCCAGAATAATGCTACAGATTCTAATCTGGGTCAGTCACTTGGGACTAGAGATTTAGTTTTCTCAGCTTTCGGACTTATGCTGGAGGCCACCCTCAGGGAACCTCTCTCTACCAGAATGTGTTGGTAGAGAGATGTTCCCTGAGGATGGGCCTCCGCTTGAGTCCAAAAACTCGGAAGACTAAACCCCTGGTCCTGCTGACTAGCCCAGATTGGATCCTGCAGACTTTCTTCTTTTCAATAACTGTAATATCAGGCATGTTATTAACAAGGTGCCTCTTTGTTTGGATCTTAATGTCCCATAAGATTTTAAGCCCTCATTTTCCAAATTTTCTCAACTTGATGGTTCCAGTGGTTTTTACTACATTCAGATCCAAACCTCTGGCAGTTTCCAAAGAATAATTCTGGCAAATCAATCATGATGCAGTTTGTGGCCCATTTGTGAAATTTTGCTGCAGCCACTGATCCAATGGTCAATCGTTTCATCCTTTTCACTACAAAGGCAACATTTGCTATTGCTTGTTGCATGTTGGATTTTCGCCTTCATATGATTAACTGGCAAAGTGTGTTCTTGAGCTGCTAAAATAGAGCCTTCAGGTTTTTTTTTTCTTAACACTTCTGATGTTGACCAACTCCATATAGGTTTTGTATTGTTATTATTTAGAGTCTTATTAGCCACCCTTTGCAAATCATGGAAATTTACCAGACTCTCCCACAGATGTTATTAATATGGATTATGCTGCTTTAATACACACACACACACACACACACACGTTTTAAAATACAAATTATAATCACCCATGAAAGAATGTCTTGTTGAACCTAATAGGAGTGATGGTTAATAGTTTATTTAGAATTACATTTTTCCCTTTCCTAAGAGTTGAGTAAATGGTCCCACAGACTTTCATTAATTTGTGTCTGGTAGAAGTAGATTACTCCTCTAGATTCCAATATTTCTGAAATTTTTTTTACCATGCTATAAACTGTGTTTCCTACTAGTTCATAAGATAATTATTAAATGCATATTGTTAAAATAAATTGGCAAATTATTTGATCATTTGAAGTTTAAAGAAAACTGCAATATACAAGAGGCACCTACATAATTATTAGAAATCTTGTGTAAAAAAAAAATTAAAACAAGAGAGACCATAAGTTCCTTGGGCATTCATTTTAAATTAATGTCCTTTTTTTAGGAATCTGACTTTAAACCAGAATTATCATTTCAGTTAAACATGTTTTATAGAGTATATACCGCGAAATATGCTCCGTTGATTTTAATGAGTTGTGACGTCTGGTATTTCATGTGCTTGAATATTTGCCCACATGTGAGGAATATGGACTCGTCCCTAATGGAAAATAACATAAAGGAATACTGTAAAAAATCAGAAGTTAGAATGTCATTTAGCCATCCAGAGATGACACAGTAATTAACTATTGACACTTGTGAATAAGCTAGCACAAATTAATCTTGACACATTTGCAGACGAGTGATATCTTACAGTGAACACTTTGTAATTATATTTCAAAATGAAAATTAAATGACACTTAAAACTAGGTTGTCATGCTCAATGGAGCGAGCATGTAGCTCAACCAATTCACAAATAAAATTCAGGAGTTGAGCCACATGGTGCTCCTCTGCCATCTTTGGTAGTGTCAAGCCCTATACATTGAGATTGCACTGTGGTAATTGCTGTGTAACAGGGTGGATTTCTTCATTTCTCTCTTTCTGCTTAATCACAAATGCCATCAATATTAGATGCTGTGTGAGTACTTTACTGGCTTCTATAAGGATATGAATATTCATCTGCTCATATATTGTACTGATAACTGCTGTGGACGGTGTATGAACATTTAAACTCTAACAAAATCAGTTCCCAAATTTACAAAGCTTTGCCCATAGCCTGAGTACAAACTTTTAATATGATGCCTATCTCTGCATAATCATTCTTTTTTGTTTAGCCCTGTCTCATTCTGCCCTTAAAGAGTGCTTGCAATAACAAGATGCCACAACAAGAGTAAATATCTTAAAATATTAAAAATATGGTAAAAGGCAATATGCTAAAATATGGCATTGAGCCCTGATAGTAACTCTTCCTAAAATTCCCAAACAACCTGATCATGTACAGCTTTGTAAGAGGAAATTTTATAACCTCAAGGCAATTGGAGAAACTTTGAACTTATTTAAAAGTTTGGAAAAAGAATTCTATAGCTTCAGATTCAGGAGGGTGATTCCATTTCTGTGTATTTTACCAATATCAAATAAAACCCTATAATTAGAAAAGAGACATGTTAATGACAAAAAAATGTGGGTTAGCAGATTCTTCCATATGTGGAAAATTCTTTTTAACTAGCCTTAGGGACAAAAGGCAATCCTCTCTTGGTCTACAGAAGCTACAGAATTCCATGCAGTCTGAATATATAAATCTTACCTAATGTTTCTTATGCTGTATCTTTGTACTTTGGTAGAAGCCCAGAAATATATACTGGAAAAGAACATCAGATAAAATGTATTGGGCATTATACTTGCCCATTATACATCCCATATCTTAAAATGACTTATCTCACAGTGATGCTTTGTCTGCCATCTTGAGGTTCTGAAGGAAAAGCAGGATTAAAATAAATCTACTAAAATAAAGTAAATGAGGGTACATTGTATTGTGTAAATAAACTATTCTATTAGCTGATTTTTTCCCCCTTGTGACATTAGGATTTCTTGCTGTCCCTAACCTGAAAGTAATTTAAATTCAATAAATTAGTTATCTAAGTAGTAGTGCAACTGAAATATAGTAATATAATTTAAAACTATTTATTTCAGTTTATATAACTCTGAACAACCAACAGATATAATCACATATAATTACATAATCACCAAAAAGCCAACATTAGGCTGCATTAACAGAGGGATAGAATCAAGATCACGTGAAGTATTAATACCACTTTACAATGCCTTGGTAAGGCCACACTTGGAATACTGCATCCAGTTTTGGTCATCATGATGTAAAAAAGATGTTGAGACTCTAGAAAAAGTGTAGAAAAGAGCAAAAAAAGATGATTAGGGCACTGGAGGCTAAAACATATAAGGAACGGTTGCTGGAATTGAGTATGTCTAGTTTAATCAAGAGAAGGAAGAGGGGCAACATGATAGCAGTGTTCCAATACCTCAGGGGCTGCCACAAAGAAGAGGGAGTCAAGCTATTCTGCAAAGCACCTGAAGGCAAGATGAGAAGCAATGGATGGAAACTAATCAAAGAGAGGAGCAACCTAGAACTAAGGAGAAATTTCCTGGTAGTTAGAACAATTAATCAGTGGAACAACCTGCTTCCAGAAGCGCTTAATTCTCCAACACTGGAAATTTTTAAGAAGAGGCTGGACATCCATTTGTCTGAAATGGTATAGAGTTTCCTGCCTGAGCAGGGGGTTGGACTAGATGATCTCCAAGGTCCCTTCCAACTTTATTATTATTATTATTATTATTATTGTTGTTGTTGTTATATATCTAAAACTCTATTAGAACCATGATAGAATGTTAAATATATAATTCAAAACATATACAGTAGCTAGTACAATAAAACATTAATCTTTTAGGACAATAGTGATAACACAATGAAGCCAAACAATAGCAATAATAATTATAGTTATTGTGTTTGTATTATAGAGGCAGAATGCTTTTCTATTCAAAATACACCAAGCATAGGATAACAATAGAAAATGAAAGTAATGCTAAAAATAAATAAAACAAGGCAATTGAAAGAGAAATATAACTTTGCAGAGGTAATAGATACATACAGTTTTCACTTCCCGGAGAAGCTTTCTCCAACAGAAAAGTTGTAATTAAATAATGCATAAAAGTATAAATACGCTTCAAAAAGTCTGTTTTGGATGGAGAGTTCCAAAGGGTTCATCATGACTGCTTCACAAACTCATTTCCAAGAATGTAATAGCATGTGGGAATGATTTTGGGTGGGGTGGGGTGGGGGGGGGAAGTGAGAAATAGAGGCTATCAGGGGAACAGTCAGATAACAGAGGGCACAGTCCACAGCTGCATATGGGGTGGAAAAAGGAGCCCCACCTGTCAAAGTTCTCAGACAATAAAGGAGCCACAGGGAGATTTGTACTTTTGCAAGTTTCTGTTAATGTAGCCTTACATTAAAGTAGAATTAATTCTTTTGGTTGTGTTTCTTGTCCGGTTCACCTTGGAAGGCTGACAAAGAATGAGATGACTTAAAATGGAGCTGTCCCTGAAAGAGAAATCCCTTTGTCTAATCTGCTCCTGATTAAAGCAGCCATTACCTAATGGGCAGTTTAAAAATGTAAATTAATAAAGTGCATGATGGCTTAACCAGGTTTTCCTGACTATGTTTTAAAGATTAATTTAATGAATAACATCTTTGAAACCTCCTTGTGGTATTGTAGCAAGCTCATGGAAAAGTAAGATTCAGTGTAGCAAAGCCTCAACATCTTAGAATTTATCAAGAGGACTTTGTTCTCTCTGAATAATATTGAATTTGGTATCTCTATTTTAATGTAATGTAAATTTTATTTCCAACAGATTGCAAGACAACAGCAGCAACTTCTCCAGCAGCAACACAAAATCAATCTCCTGCAGCAGCAAATTCAGGTCAGTATGTTTTGTTGTTCTCTGCTGATTATCCTTAAATTCTGTTTAGAGAGAGGGGAAGCTTTAAAATAAAATTGCTTTTACTCTACTAAACTAGCAAAGCTTCCAAAGGTCTGCTATTTTTTTTTAAAAAAAGTGAAAATAGTTCAGTGGAAGCTATATTTTCTAACAAACAGCTTTTGTTTGAAGGATATTCATTTGTTTTAAATTTGACCATTTAATGCTAAAGTAAACAGATAGTTTAACATGTGCTTCAGAGGAAAAATAGGGATTCAGTTATTGCTTGTGGATCACCTTATTACAATGAAGACTTAACAGCTTTCAATTGATAGAGTTATTACAGAAATCATTTATAGCTCTTGCTAGGTAGGTGTACAGTAAGAGTTGAGGGCAGCAGCGTTTTGTAGGTGGCAGATGTTATTGTGTATGTGTCATGAGCACCAATTCCAGTTTTAATTTTATATGGAGGAAATAACATTAATTACAATCTCTTCTTGAATATATCCAAAGACATAAAAGGTAATGTTATTTTAATGGATCTGTTGTGGTTATTTCTTTTTCTTTTATAAAAGCATCACATCAGGCTATTGAAAGCTACCACTACCAATAAACCTTTTTTTAAAATAACAACAACAACAACAACAAAAAACTTATTATTGCATATGATTATCTACTGTCAGTGAAAATGTTGGATTGAGGAGCTCTTTGGCCTGATTCCACAGAATTATTTTCATATTTTTGTGTGAAAGGTTCCAGTCTAAATTTGGTATTTGTTTTTATGTGTGAAAATCCCTACTCTACTTTAAAATGGTACGATCCTGGAAAGAGGGTTGCTTGTGCAGTTTCTAAATACCTTGTTCTGTTCTAACACCTGCTTTATTATGGGAGGATGAATGAATTCCTCTTGTTCAGACAGATTTTTTTGTAGTCCAAGAAATTGCTGAACTGAGAGTAAAAAAAATCTGTCTACAATTTGCATAGTTAGTTCGATACTATTGCTGGCATCATAATATGCCTTCTGGTAGTCATTCTCAGGCAAAGAAAAATTTCCTTCCAATGGCCACGCTATTGCAGAAAGTTATAATACAGGTAATTTTGTCTTCTTTTTGCCTTTTCTGCATTGTTACTTCATAACATTACAGGTAGTCCTCAACTTATGACCACAGTGGAACCCAAAATGTCCTTTACTAAGCAAGACAGTTGTCAAGTGAGTTTGGTCCCATTTTACAACCTTTCTTGGTACAGTTGTTAAATGAAACATTGGAGTTGTTTAGTAACATGGTTGTTAAATGAATCTGGCTTCTCCCTTGACCTTGTTTGTCAGAAGGTTGCAAGAGGCAATCACATGACCCTGGGACACTGCAGCCATCGTAAACATGAGTCAGTGGAGATGCTGCAATGGTTGTAGGTGTGAAAAGTGGTCATAAGTTACTTTCTTCAGTGTCATTTTGAACAGTCACTAAATGAACTGCTGTAAGTTGAGGATTATCTGTAGTTGATTCCCTGTTTATTGCCTTGTATTCTGTATTTGCAAAGGTTAACAGATACGTCACTAGGACCAAGTGGCAGTTCCTCTTCCTAAGAACAAATACATTGCCTCCACTTTATCTTCTTCTAGCCTTGTTTCCCCCCCCCCCCCACTAAGTTATGGAGTTTAGCCACTGCCAAACATTTTGTCACTTTATGCCAATCCAGTTGTTGGGGGTCTGCTTAGAATAAGAAGCTTCTGTGGATTGTGTCTCTCTCTTGTGTGCATTGGGAAAACTCATTAAAGGATTTCAAGCAGGTTAAGCTTTTCTCCTCCACGGTATGTTTGCCAGGATTCTTGGTGGTTGTTTCATCTTCTCCTGGAGCATCTTGCAAGGAATTGCTTTAGCTGCTATCAAAGCTTGTTGGGTCAGTGCCATAGCAGGCATACAAACAAATTTTAAAGAACGGCTGCTTGTGTGGTTAGAGTTGTAGTATGAGACTTATATTTAATGTATTGTTTGGGAGTTGCAAAAGATTTTAGGTAGATAATGTTTAAGCAGCTCATTACAACTGACAAATATGGAACTTTTGTCTGTTTTTTTTGGGTGTGTGTGTGTCTGTTTTCTTAAATCAAATAAGAGAAATTGAATAACTTTAAAACTAGAAGCTCTGCTCAGCGAAGAGTTGTCCCCGGTCCTTAAGTCATAAAGCTTGAGTACTTCATATATTTTAGGACTATGCTTTCAGTGGATGTATACATTTTAGGAATATACTTTACAAGGAGATAAACATTCTTCAAAAGACAATGTTTATAGTTAAATAAGTAGCAACATTATTGTAAAGCCTAGTGAACTTTAAATAGAAAGAAAATCAGTTATCCTACCACTATGTCTTGTCAGAAAGGCCTTGAGAAAGCACATTTTTAATTTCCTATCTGCATCTGAAACTAGTTGTGCAGTTGTTTGGATGCCTGGAACATGTGACTACTTGTATTTCAGTATTGGACTTCAAGATGCACCTATTTTATTAAGTATTCTTACATGGCACTTCATAAGTAAATACCTGCTGCCAAAAATTTATTTACATAGCACATAAATTTGTCAACTAGTAAAATATATAGGTCATTAAAAAATAATTAAAGCAAATGGAAGAGGCTGTTACTGGTATTTTAGTCTTCAAAAGTTTTAGACATAATTTAAGAATGAGAAATAAATCAGAGCGAAAATGGAAAATAATAATACATGTTGTGTTCCATTTAAATTTTTATTCAATAGGTAGTAAGCTATAGTTATAATAAAGATAATATAATTTCATAGCAGCTTCCTTTCTTGAGCTTTAGACTATAATTATTAATGATGATAATGATGATAATATAAAATATTTATTGAAAATTATAAAGGAAGAGTCAAATTTCAATACAATTTGGAGTCACGGCCCTATTGAAAATGTTTTTAACTTTTGGCTCTGGATGCGGACCAAACATTTGCAAACTACTTTCTGAATTAAAATCTGCTTGATGAGCTTGATTGATGCTGGCAAAGAAAGTTGCTAACTTTTTTAAAATGTTAATTCTAGATTTCTGCCCTGTGGTTCATACTTTTCAGGAAGGCTTGTGGATAGAACCTTGCAGCATGCTTGTGATTTTTGCTACCTCTGTTTTGTCAATCTGAAGACAACTGAAGACACACTTGGGGAATTTTAATTTGTCAAGGAAGTTTTTTTTGGGGGGAGGGGAGGACCCCATGAGGTAACATTGTGGTGATAGAGGCATCTCATGAGGATCTGCAGGAACGAGCATGAGATGCTCAGCAGGAGTGAACCAATTTAAGATGCTAGCAGATCTGGGATAATCTCTGCAGGAGGTGAGGTTGGAATTAGTTAGGCAACTCAGTCAAAGAGGTGAGTCCTAAGAAGGTTGGAGAGAGAGAAAAAAAAGAGTTCTGTATATCTTATTCTTGCATGGTTGGTTAGTTTCTGTTGACTGTGATTTGTATTCAACCCTGTGTTTGTTCATGTTCAGATAAGGTCAAAGGACCTACAGGTTTACCTAAAACATTGCAATGTCAAACTGTAGTTTTCACTATTTCTACTTTTTCTTTGTTTTGTCTTTCTTTGTCTTCCATTGTTGTGGGCCAAAGGTATAGAAATACTGGTTCTGCTTTTGCTCAGGGCTAATCAGCAAAGCATCAAAGTTTTGCTGGAGGTCCAATTTATACTGTATTATTCCTTGCTTGCATGCAAATAAATTATGTTGTATCCTCAAAGTTATTTAGTTCTTTAGGTGAGCTGTGTTTTGGCTAAACAACCTAGAAAAATCCCATGCACCCACTACCCCATCACCCAATTTTCCCAAATGCATGCAAAACAGGGGCATGACAGCTGCCAAGAACATGATTACATTCTCCCCTCTATGTGGCTTTAATTTCTCATCCTATATTATATTAATTGTTTTCATTTTTTTAACTCGATTCATGTAATTAGTACTATAGCCTTCATGCTGAACTACCATTATGTGGAAGAAATTTGAGGAGTTTTCATTTTTAAAAAATTAAGAAACTAGTATGATAATATAGTCATAAAGAAAAAAAATCTTATACCTTAGGTTCTACCTTGTGTTTTCAAACAGTGATAAGAGCAGTGATATTTTCATATTCATTGTTATAAGCAATGGATGGAAACTAATCAAGGAGAGAACTAACTAGAACTAAAGAGAAATTTCCTGATAGTTAGAACAATTCATCAGTGGAATGGCATGTCTAGAGAAGTTGTGAGGGTTCCATCACTGGAAGTTTTTAAGAAGAGATTGGACAATCTTATTTGTCTGAAATGGTATAGGATTTCCTGCCTGAGTAAGAGGTTGGACTAGAAGACCTCCAAGGTCCCTTCCAACTCCGTTATTCTGTTATTCAGGTTTCTACCACCTACATTCACTTTGAAGAGTCATTCAGATATTAAAACTTCAGGCAGGTGCATACAACGGAGGACATTCTTTTAAATTCTTCAATCCCAAATATGTTCAGGGTTTTAATATTAGAATCAACATCTTAAACATTCATTGCTAATCCAAATCTTTAAAATTAGTATCAGGAGCACAATGCTTCCCCATCTACCATCTGGCTACTATTCTGGACTGGTTACATTTTTGGTAGTATTTTCACAGATAATAAAATATAATGCATAAAAACCTACACAAATGACTAGTTTCTCCAACCTTATAAGAGATTCAATTCTTTGTCTCTTGGCTGCAAACTCCTCAGCTCATTTATTTCTTTATATGGCAGTTAGTTTTGCTTTATTCAGTGACACTGTTTTTGCTCACTAAAACTTTTCCTTTTAAATTGCCACAAGAATCCATTTTCGTGTTCTAATGTTCTGGCCGTGTCACTTAATATCAACAAGCTTGCATGGTCTCATTTTGTTAAAATGAGTGAGCATGATAGTAAACAGAGGTGCAGCAATTTGAAAAATGACTGCTGCTTAACTGTCCTTGATGTGAATAGTTTGTATTATACTTAAAGCCTAAGAGGCTG